GAGATTTTAAAAGAAAAATAAGAAAAAAAAATGAGATTTTAAAAGAAAAATAAAAAAAAATGAGATTTTAAAAAAAATAAGAAAAAATGAGATTAAAAAAAATAGATTAAAATGAAATTAAAAAATTAGATTAAAATGGGATTTTAGAAAACAAAAAAAATTGAAGTGACTCTTCTTTCCTGACAGATTACAACCATCAAAAAAGAGCATCAGAAAATCATTGTTAACAGCGAAAATCTCTTGTAATATTAACTTCTCAAAATTAAAAACCGATGGCAGCAGTGACAAAATATTTAATAAGAAATGAAGTCACAACAAAGCAGAAGAAGGAAGCCAGAAATACAGCAAGTAGGGACATTAAAATAACAGATGACTCAGCCTTAATATCGAGACTTATGAACTTGGAAGATGGCCAGCCAGAGAAAGTAGCATTTCGCTCTATGACACCAGTGACCAGCTGATGTGTGCACTTTTACTGACCAGCCTGAGTCACTCTTTGGCAGCCATTTCAAGACCAAGAGAAACTTTACCAATAATTCTCATCAATAAATGCCGTGGCTGAATTTAAAAAAGTAACCACTGGGGTGTTTATTTCTGTTTTAAGCCTTCAACAATTATAAAACAAAGATTTTAACTAGGAGTGAAAAAAAATATAAAAAGGTTCATTTTTAAGAACTCAGTTTCTGTGAAATTCAACAATCAGAAATTTTAAACTTAATGCCACAATCAAACGAAGGATCTACTTAATGAAAAGGTTGAATGCTTCAATTTTTTTTTTTAAATCTATGAAAACAATCTTAAGTTCTTTATATTTTGTTTCCATGGCTTTAAAAAATGAGTGAGAAAGAAGACAAGTGAAGAGAATGTGGTAGAGAATATGAGGGGGAGAGAAGGGCGTCGAGGAGAGAGAGAGAGGGAGAGAAGGGCAACAAGGAGAGAGAGAGAGAGGGAGAGAAGGGCAACAAGGGAGAGAGAGAGGAGAGAAGGGCAACAAGGAGAGAGAGAGAGGGAGAGAAGGGGCAACAGGAGAGAGAGAGAGGGAGAGAAGGGCAACAAGGAGAGAGAGAGAGAGGGAGAGAAGGGCAACAAGGAGAGAGAGAGAGAGGGAGAGAAGGGCAACAAGGAGAGAGAGGGGAGAGAAGAGCAACAAGGAGAGAGAGAGAGGGAGAAAGAGCAACAAGGAGAGAGAGAGAGGGGAGAGAAGAGCAACAAGGAGAGAGAGAGAGAGGGAGAGAAGAGCAACAAGGAGAGAGAGAGAGAGAGAAGAGCAACAAGGAGAGAGAGAGAGAGGGAGAAGAGCAACAAGGAGAGAGAGAGGGAGAGAAGAGCAACAAGGAGAGAGAGAGGAGAGAAGAGCAACAAGGAGAGAGAGAGGGAGAGAAGAGCAACAAGGAGAGAGAGAGGGAGAGAAGAGCAACAAGGAGAGAGAGAGAGAGAAGAGCAACAAGGAGAGAGAGAGAGAGGAGAGAAGAACAAGGAGAGAGAGAGAGAGAGAACAAGAAGAGCAACAAGGAGAGAGAGAGAGAGAGAAGAGCAACAAGGAGAGAGGAGAGAGACAGAGAAGACAAGAGAGAGAGAGGAGAAGAGGGAAGAGAAGAGCAACAAGGAGAGAGAGAGAGAGAAGAAGAGCAACAAGGAGAGAGAGAGAGAGAGAGAAGAGCAACAAGGAGAGAGAGAGAGGGGAGAGAAGAGCAACAAGGAGAGAGAGAGAGGAGAGAAGAGCAACAGAGAGAGAGAGAGGGAGAGAAGAGCAACAAGGAGAGAGAGAGGGAGAGAAGAGCAACAAGGAGAGAGAGAGGGGAGAGAGAGAAGCAACAAGGAGAGAGAGAGAGGGAGAGAAGAGCAACAAGGAGAGAGAGAGAGGGAGAGAAGAGCAACAAGGAGAGAGAGAGAGGGAGAGAAGAGCAACAAGGAGAGAGAGAGGGAGAGAAGAGCAACAAGGAGAGAGAGAGGGAGAGAAGAGCAACAAGGAGAGAGAGAGAGGGAGAGAAGAGCAACAAGGAGAGAGAGAGGGAGAGAAGAGCAACAAGGAGAGAGAGAGGGAGAGAAGAGGAGCTCACCCATAGACAGTTGGACACCTATGCATTCTATTTTGTCTCGTATTTTAAATCTGTGTTATCTCATTCTTTTGTTTCACAGTGGGAATTGAGAGATCTTCAGAAACCTCGTATTTATTCTTGTACAGTTTGCCTAACGTGGTTCTTTTTGCATTGGCATGAGAGTTCTTCCTGCACAACTCTTCTCTTTTCACACCTACTTTTCAATTCACAGCCACGTGACAGTCTTTTTGATACAAGATAGCAAAGAGAATCTTGAAATTCTATAGATTTAAAGAAATATCCATGAGGTACAACCAACATTGACAATTCAATCTAAAGATTGGAGACCTAAATGCCATATCCATTTAGAACATATCTAATAATTTCACCAGAAGCAAGGCAATAAAGCCACTAAGATGCAAAGTGTTACTGAGTATGATAGAATATAAGAAAACTATTATTAAGGGCCAAGAACACTACAAGAACAGGAACTAAGAAGACAGAAGATAACAATCAACATCACATTTAAATTTTTGAAGATCAAAGTTGACTGGGAAACAAGCAGCCAGAAGAGAGTTCCACAAGTGAAAAGTGCAACAGAAAAATTCATAAAATCTAGCTCCAAAAGGGGGAACTTCATGAGGTCAGTTACCATGAAAATATTTATAGAAAAAGTACAGGTAAGCTATGTTACAGCAATGGGAAAATGACTGAAGCTGAGATGTTAGGTAAGGACCAATAACATTGCAAATTCTTTGTATTTTATCAAGAATCTCTAAATATATAGAAGCACCAGACCAGATGTGGCAGCAATATTCAAAGCAAAGACAAATGGCAGACTTACAACTATCCAAGACTGATTCTGGAGAGAATAAATTGTCTAGCACAGTGAACCAACTTTACTGTTAGCAGACCTAGCAGTAGATTCAATATAATCATTCCACTTCATGTCAGCAGAAAACATTAGCACCAAAAGGCACAATGAACCACTTTCCTGGGGGTTAGCAACAGCCATGCTGATGGAAGGCAGAAAGGGCTCTCTGAGATGATTAAAAAAAAAAAGAAGATTAGTTTCATTTGGGAAGCATTAAAATTAAAAAGCCATTGTTTACCCCAGTTAAAAACAGATTTTAGGCCATTTTTGCCAATTTCACCTTATTGAATCAATCAGACTTACTATTAACATAGAAGTAAATATTTGTATCAACCACATAGATACAGAGTTGAGAACTGATGCCATCAGGAAGGTCATTGATGAAAATTACAAACTAGATCAAAGGATAGATTTGGTAGATGCCTGCATTAATGCAAAATGATCTAGAAGAGTGGCCATTCAAGACAACATTCATTTCATGATTTGATACAAATTGAATCAAAACAATGCAAGAAAGCTAACTTTGATGTCTTTCTGCAAGAGATGGCTCAACTTGGTTGTAACCCTATTGCATATTTGAGACAATTCATTTTGCACTGGCCACAAGGAGAAAAAACAACATGGAGTTAAAATTGCAATATGCAAGTCACCAGATGGATAGTATCACACACCTGTTAGAAAGACTGATGGCTAGTGACAATGTTGTCCAAGACTGTAAGATCTGAGTGATGTCAGCTTATATCCCAACAGAAAAAAGTGCCGTCTTGGAAAAAGAGAAAGTCTACACAGAATTGAGTAAAATGTGTATATTAGGAATAAAACAGAAAACTGCACATTACTGGTGATTTTAATGCTACTTCAAGCATTTTTAATCACCATTGGTCCATTGACAGTAAGAAAACATCACCCCTCTGAAACAGAAGCCTCAAACAACAATTGAGAACTCTTGCTAAACATTTGTTACTCAAAAAGATACTCCATCCTTAAAACAGTATTTGATCATCCCATGAGACACCACATCACATGGCATAGCCCATGTTAATCTTCACAAGTTGCTCTCCTTGGCAACTCTTCAACCAGAAAAGGGGCAGCTTACCCAGAATGAGCTGAGCAGCCATTTTTGGACAGGCCACACACATGGAGAAGGAAAGAGTCAAAATAAAACATTCTCTTTTCATTACGTGTCCGAGTTCCTTTGAGTTTACATTGGTAGCAGAGGCCATCGATCAACCAAATGGCTTCCAAATTTATTCCTCCACCTATTTTAAGCCCAGATAAATACAACACTTGGAAAAAAAGAAATGCATGTTTGAGAACTTGCGACCTGCATCAACAAACCTCACTGGGCATCCATAGCATTTTTATCCCTGGAAGGAAAAGCCAAAGAAGCTGTTCTGGAACTGGACATTCTCACATTACATGCCAATGATGGAATGGAAAAATTATATGAAAAGTTGGATATGCTCTTTTTAGAGGATGCTAACCAGTTGGTTTTTATGATATACACATCGTTCAAACAATATTGACAACAGAATAGTATGTCATATAGACAAATACCTTATTAACTTTGACCATCATGTCAAATAGTTAAAAGGACTATAAAATACAATTACCAGAGCTGCTACTTACCTACAGAGTATTAAAAAGTGTGAATCTGACACCTGAGAATGAGTGACTAGTAAAAGCCACCATCGATGAATTAACACTGTCGGCAATGTCCAAACAACTTTTTAAAAAAATCATGCACAGACAGTTTACCAATGATTTGTCAACAAATACTCCACCAGTTGTGATAAAGAGATACAGATTGTGCCTACAATTAAAACATCCAGGAAGACACTAATATGGTTGCTGGTGTCCTTCTCAGTTTTCCACTTGGTGAGGTAGCAGAGGCTGGAGAGGACATAAAAACAAAAGTCCGGTATCTTCTGACAAAAGTTCAGGCTCATTTGAACCTGAAGACAATACCACCAAATGCTTCACATGTGCCTACAAATTCCACTGGACTTACAATTGTCCATACACGGATAACACCAGTAATAAGCAAGATAGGAGTCAAGAGGACAACAACATATTTGTAGCCAACATCATGCAGATGAGTCAGCAAAAGCAGGAAGACAACAGAGTGTGGTAGGGAATATGAGGGGGAGAGAAGGGCGTCGAGGAGAGAGGGGGAGAGAGAAGAGCAACGAGGAGAGAGAGAGAGAGAGAAGAGCAACGAGGAGAGAGAGAGAGAGAGAGAAGAGAGAAGAGCGAGGAGAGAGAGAGAGAAGAGAGAGAGAGAGAGAGAGAAGAGCGTCGAGGAGAGAGAGAGAGAGAGAGAGAAGAGCAACGAGGAGAGAGAGAGAGAGAGAACGAGGAGAGAGAGAGAAGAGAGGAGAGGAACGAGAGAGAGAGAGAGAAGAGCAACGAGGAGAGAGAGAAGAGAGAGAAGAGCAGAGAGAGAGAGAAGAGCAACGAGGAGAGAGAGAGAGAGAAGAGCAACGAGGAGAGAGAGAGAGAGAGAAGAGCAACGAGGAGAGAGAGAGAGAAGAGCAACGAGGAGAGAGAGAGAGAAGAGCAACGAGGAGAGAGATAGAGAGAAGAGCAACGAGGAGGGAGATAGAGAGAAGAGCAACGAGGAGGGAGAGAGAAGAGCAACGAGGAGGGAGAGAGAAGAGCAACGAGGAGGGAGAGAGAAGAGCAACGAGAGAGAGAGAGAAGAGCAATGAGGAGAGAGAGAGAGAGAGAGAAGAAATGAGAGAGAGAGAGAGAGAAGAGAAGAGCAACGAGAGAGAGAGAGAGAGAGAAGAGGAGACGAGGAGAGAGAGAGAGAAGAGCAACGAGGGAGAGAGAGAGAAGAGAGAACGAGGAGAGAGAGAGAAAGAAGAGCAACAGGAGAGAGAGAGAGAGAAGAGCAACGAGGGAGGGGAGAGAGAAGAGCAACGAGGAGGAGAGAGAGAGAGCAACGAGGAGAGGAGAGAGAGAAGAGCAAGTCCTGGGAGAAAGAGAGAAGAGCAACGAGGAGGGGAGAGAGAAGAGCAACGAGGAGAGAGAGAGAAGAGCAACGAGGAGAGACAGAGAGAGAATGGGGAGAGAGAAGAGCAACGAGGAGACAGAGAGAGAGGGAGAGAGAAGAGCAACGAGGAGAGAGAGAGAGAGGGAGAGAGAAGAGCAACGAGGAGAGAGAGAGAAGAGAGAGAAAGAGCAACGGAGGAGAGAGAGAGAGGGAGAGAGAAGAGCAACGAGAGGAGAGAGAGAGAAGAGAGGGGAGAGAGAAGAGAGGGGGGAGAGAAGAGAGGGGAGAGAGAGAGAGGGGAGAGAAGAGAGGGGAAAGAGAAGAGGGGAGAGAAGAGGGGAGAGAGAGGAGAGAGGGGAGAGAGAGAAGAGGGGGGAGAGAGAAGAGGGGGGGAGAGAAGAGAGAGAGGGGGAGAGAACGAGGAGGGGGGAGAGAAGAGAGGGGGGGGAGAGAAGAGAGGGGGGAGAGAAGAGAGGGGGGAGAAGGGAAGAGAGAAGAGCAAATTTTGGGAGACAAGGGGGGGAGCAATCCTGAGAAGAGATGGGGGGAGTGAAGAGATGGGGGACTGTTTGTGGGGACTAAATGGGGGGAAGAGAGGGGGGAGAGTGCAAATTTTTGGTGACCATTCCTGTTCAACAATCAAAAAGTAAATTTCTGCCACTGTTTGGACCAAAAAATGAGTTTTAGAGATGAATCTAAAATCACTGTTTACAGCTACTCTGCTGTCTGTCATTGCCGACATTGAAGTCAAGATTTTTTATAGTAGAACATACCTATTCTATAGTTAGTAGACTCTCCCACATATAATAAGCAGGAGTAGTAAGAGTAACATGGGAGTCGCTCAGTGGGTCGGTCAGTCAGTCGATACCGGACGACCATTAGTCGGATACTAAAGTATCAGCGACCACAACTAGATTTCTCTGCGTCATTACCTATTATATCATGTTCCTACTGTTTTGTACGTTGAACCTATTTTAGGACCGACTTAGTACAGATACAAGCCTCCACTGTGAAATCACTCCATAACAATATTATTACTGATATTGTGGACTCAGACATTCCGCTTTTATTGAGCAATGATGCCATAAAAAGAGCCAAGACACATCTCAATTTTGAAAATGACAGTGTCACAATGCTTGGTAAAAAAGTTACACTTTACATCTGGTGCTTCTATATATTCAAAGATTATTGATAAAATACAAAGAATTTGCAATGTTATTGGTCCTTACCTAGCATCTCTAGTCACTCTCATATTGCTGTAACTTAGCTTTCCTGTACTTTTCTATAAATATTTTTATAATATCTCTTTTGATGAAGTTCCCCTTTTGGACCTAGATTTTATAAATTTAAACTTGTGTTGTACTTTATCTGGTCAACACTGCATCCTTATTACCAGACCTTCACTAGAATGAAGTAAGTTTAATCGAATACTTTTAATTAAAGAAATTACTACCAAAAACAGATCAGAAAAAATCAGAATAGTAACAAAATTACATAAACAATTCAGCCATCCAAATAGTAAAAAGTTGTGTCTTCTAGTTAAAAATGCAGGAATAAGAGACCCTGAATTCATAAAACTTTTACAAGAACTTCCTAATTCATGTGAAATATGAATCCAATACAAAAAGATTGGACCCTGGTCCATTGTTGGGTTTTCATTAGGTCCATATCTTATCCATATCTTATGGACAAATATTGCATTTAATTATGTTACAAGATACAGTGTTGGAGTCAGCATTCCTAGTAAAGAAAGTTCTGACATTCTTAGAGTTATAATCACTCATTGGATAGCATATTTTGGCACTTCAGGATCTAACCTCACTGACAATGGCAGGGAGTTCAATAACCAATCATTTGGGGATGTCACAGAACTTGAATATTGCAGTATGCACTACTGCTGCTGAAAATCCATCAAGCAATGTTTTGAATGAACGACACAATGGGATACTGGAAGAAATGGTGAAGAAAACCATTGAAGACACAAGTTATAGTTTTGATGTAACACTTGCATGAGCCGTAGGTGCCAAAAATACACTTCACAATATCCATGGTTATAGCCATAACCAAGTTGTTTTTTGGCAGGTATCCCAACTTGACTTCTTTTTTAAATGAAAAACTCCCTGCGTTAGAAGGTATTTCTATCAGTGAAGTTGTTGCAAACAACCTCAGCGCAGTGCATACTGCCAGGAAACAATTCCTAGCATGTGTGTCTTCAGCAAAACTAAGATGTGTACTTCATCACCAATTTCGAACAAATATAGTGAAGTCATACAAAAATGGTGATACTGTTTGTTCTCTATAAAAGAACATATGTGATAGATGGCTTGGTCCAGGAACTGTCATAGGGTGGGAGCATAAGTAGGTACTCATTAAACATGGCGGTACATATGTGAGAATGCATCCATCCTATTTAATCCCCTACCTTGAAGCATATCAAAGTTCCGAAGATGGAACAATAACAGAACAGAGGCCCAGCACCTTACAAAAAGGACCTGATACAACTCCAAAAGTATTAATTTTTGAAGAGAATGATATAGATAAAGAAAGCCCAAATGAAAATATTGAACAACATCAGACTGTGACAGCAAGGAGCAGACCATCAAAACAAAATGCCATTCTTAAGAAAATTGAGCTCCTGAAACCAAGACAAACTATTAAATGCAAGCTTGCCAAGGATGATTGATGTAATGGAATAACCTGTAACCCCCATGAGTGACTACACTATAGGTAGTAACTACCTATAAGTATCTGTATGCCAACTGACAACAGAGACTTATAGGTAGTAACTACCTATAAGTATCTGTATGCCAACTGACAACAGAGACTAGCTGCGACCTGTTCCAGAAAAACAGTTGAACTCTCTGCCTGGAGGCAGAGAGGAACTCGAATGAGACTCTGCCCTTGGCAACTCATGAAGCGGAAAAGAGGTGACTTACCCAGAAGAGACTGAGTGACCGTTTTAGACTGTACACACACGTAAGAGAATGAAGAAATCTGAATAAAGCATCTACTTTCCATTATATGTCAGAGTTCCTTTAATTTGAATTTTTTTTACATAGTATTTCTGGTATTAAAACCTATTTTTGCATTTCATAGCATTTTTAACCCACGGGTTAACTATTTTCCCATAGATGGGACCCTAACAGGTGCTACCACCCCAGGTCAGAGTGGACCTGGGAACACCAGCAATTAAGAGGTGGTTCCATGCTCCTCAAAACCTCCCGATTAGAGGCCTTGCTGCTGGACGCAGTTTATCGTCTTACACATGTTAGAGTATACAACTTCTATGTTGAATCAGATCACAGGCTACTTGTAACTGACAACACCAACCAACAAACAGCTTCTTTCTACCCACATAAACCAAGGAAAACTGTGGTATAACATTCAAGCCCTTAAAAATGAAAGGGTAAATTTAGAATTCAGTAATAAACTAAAGCTCAAATCAATGTCAATAAATCTAGATTAATACACAGAGGAAGCTAATAATGTTATATCAGCATTAACTGAAGCACATGAAAGCATTCCAAGAAGACCTAGAAGGAAAAATATACACCTATCAGATATTAACCTTGAGCTGAAAAACATTGATACAAGGAGGAAACAAACAGAAAACGGATGGAAAAAACACCAAAAATTAACAAAGAAAATAAAAAAAAGAATAGTTAATTCTTTGAGAAACCATTATCTCTAGAAAATTGGAAATTAAATTAATGAAGCCAAACAGCATAGATAACTGTGTTAAAATGCGGAGAGAAGCAAAAACTATTACTGGCAACAAAAACAAAGAAAATCTATATAAGAACTGGGGTGTGGGTAAATAATCAAAATGACAAAAACCAGATGAGGTGTGGTGACATTAAGAACAGCTGATTAGAGCTTAGATAGATGTTTGCCTTGAGGCTTTTTTATTAGTTTATTTGAGATATATATAACTGAACGACTCTGGAAACAAAGAAACTACACACACAAAACATCCTTTACAAATAGTAAATATGCAAATATGTCTGGAAGATTAAAAACAAAACAAAATCACACCAAAAAATTAACATGGAAAATAAGAAAAACAGCATCAACCTGTAAGTTCAAAACCTGTAAATTATGTCTGGAAGAGAAACTAGCTATAATTACCTTTCCAGGCCGACACAAACTACTAAATAAATGATCAGAACTTATCTCAAAATGCAAACACAAAAACAAATTTTTTCTACATTAAATTAAAAGCAATCATGTATAATCAAAAATAAATAAAAATAAAATAAATGAACAAAAATGAGTAAAAATTAATTAAAACCAATAAATAAGCAAATAATCAAAGTAAATGTAATAACAACCAACAATAAAATAATCAATAAGAAAAAGTTAACCACACTATAAATAACCCCAAAACTGCATCCAGATCCACAATTATTTCCACCCAATGGACTTTAGAATAATTCAAAACATTTAAAACTGTTACCGCCAACCAAAAAAACTGTTACAACAATACAATTGACTACACACAATGCATCACTGACCTTTATTTATAGTTGAGCAAAGACATAACACATACAACCTAATGAATGCATATAAGCATGAAACAGACTGTCACAGCTGAGTGTTGACTACAATGTCTACTTTATATATTATATGTATAGTAATGGATAGTGGCTCAGATTGAGGAATCAGAAAGCCAAGTTTGAATTCCTTTGGAAAAGGGTATTATCCTCATCTTCTCCCCCCAGCTATGTTTAAATAGCAGGACAGACTGTTTTCTGTAGCCTTGGGTGGCAACTGGTCTAGGAGAAGGAAAACTCTGAATTCAAAACTGGCCTGGAAGCAAAACATGATGGGCAGATAGGGGCTATGGAGCCTTGAAAGGCAACCTATCTAGGGGAAGGTCCCTCTGAAATATAACCTGCATCCTTGCACATCACTTATCTCACGGCAGCCTTTGCACCAGAAAGCAGATGGTGAGCATTGGACAAGAGAGTGGGATGGGGACTTAAATAAATTTCAGGTGGAGGTCATTCTACGACACTGGATGAATCTTTTACTCTCACCAAAGGACTTATTGGTAATATCGATAGAATACTCGAGTGTTGGCTCACGACACAAGAATCTCTCTCTCACATATACACACACACACATATATATATATATATATATATATATATATATATATATATATATATTATGTAATCCAATAGCTGATGCTAACCTATACAAGAGTTACTCATTCTGTCATCCTGGGCTAACAAAGTGTAAAGGCTATACTGAATCAATTGCTTGGTCGGATGCTAAGAAAATTGGTTCACTGTGTCATGCTAGACAATTTTTTTCTCTCCAGAATCTATCTTACATATTTATAAGTCTACCATCCATCCTTCCTTTTAAATATTGCTGTCACATATGGTCTAGTGACCCTGCTATATATTTAGAGATTCTTAATCAAATCCCCCCCCCAAAAAAAACATCAGTATTATTGGTCTTGACATGTCTAAGGTTCATTCACTTTCCCATCACCATAACAGCTTCCCTGTGCCTTTTCTATAAATTTCTTTCATGGTATTTGTTCGGATGAACTCTTCGCTATGGTACCTAGACTTTATGAATTTAAGCACAGTACAAAAAATATCAGCTCAGAATGAGAACCTGGAGAGCTTACTTTGAATTTCAGTAGGGGTTCATTATATTTACTTATGTGCAAATACCCTTGGGAAAGGTATGTATCCATCACCTGTCTCCTGTTACAGA